ACACAAACCCGTGAGAGGCTTTTTTGGGCGGCCTTTCGCGGAAGCTTCAAACTTGAAAGCAATACATTTTTATTTTTATTATAACGAATTTTGGTCTAATCGAGGAAAATATTATGCGGCATTACCGATCACAAATTATATTACTAGTATCACTATTCACTAGATAGACGTAAAAGTTGTAAATTAATGACGTATTTTTTTGTAAAATGATAATCGTAATACCTACGAGTCTGTATAGTATATAGTAATACACTAATACTATGTACTATTGACTACGTGCGTTGATATTTCGACGAAAATTGGAATATGTAGGTAGTAATTTATCATTACTAAAAACTATAGTAATAAGTAATAACTAATAAGTAATAAGTAATAACTATACTATATATCGTCATTAACGACCGAATAACTACGAACGCAAAATATTATATATTATACCTACCTACCAACTACCAAGGATAATAAATAATAATTAATAGGTATTTGCTAAACCAATGTAGGTAGAACGTTTTCCACATAATATTTCATACTATAATTATAGTAGCGGTGTTGTACCCATAGTATTAAAACGGGTAAAAACGAGTAGAAAATATTTATAGATTTAGACGTCGGCGACGGCATATTGGGTGAAGAGGGCCGGGGGGTTATGTCCTCCCGATTGACACCGTAAAATACGTTCTTCTTCTTAGCCCGCAGTGGGTGAATTATTACTTATTCCGTGAATACTGTGTTCGCGTAAATCAGCGTCTCTATTCAGTTTACCGAATTAATAAATTAATATTATTATTATTATTATTATTATGAAGAGTTAGTCCATTCTCCGTTATGTCTGTTATCACTTATCATCGCACTTTTTCACGGACCGACGACAAGAACAATATTAGGTACGGCTTATCGTTTTAAGTCATTTGCACGTCGCGTCTTAAGTTGGTCGCTGTGGTTTTCGTCTTCGCCGGCGGCTAAACGTCTATAGATAACAATTATTGTACCCGACGGCAAATGGGCGATAGAGAAAATCGTTGCTAGACGTCGCCGGCGATCAACCGACAACATTAATATACATAAATTTTCCAAATTTGTTCTATTATTGTGACGGCCCGACGACGCGATCAGCTGGAAGTCAGTCACGTCGGTCGCCTACTCACACCGACCCGCACTTCGGCGTGCCATCCTTTGTGACGGCTCTGTCTGTCCGTTATCTACGAGACGGCTTTCCGTAATTCCGTCTCATCGTCGTCGAAGTTCGTTACCAAAAGAGTCATCGACCTGAAATCCTTCGTCCATCGTCGCCGTCCTCATACGAGTCCAACACGGAATAGTTAAGGTATGAAAAATACACTTTTAATTAATGCACCTAATTATTAAAATAGAATTAATTGCAGGCAGGTACGCCGGTAGCATCTCATAATCTGTGTCGCCTGTGCTGTGTAGCCCGTCTTATCGCACCGGACGAATTCGGTTCGGTTAGATCTTATGAAAACGTTTCGAAATAGGCTGAATTTTCTATAGGCTTATAGCTCGATTGTTTTTCTGTTTTGATCGAACGTTCCTCGTGTTTCGCTTGTTAGTTATTATACGTCTCGTCGCCAACCGGTGGCATGATCTTTCCGTTTTTTAACAATAAATTCAATAATAGGTACAACCTCGGGTACAACTATCGAGGGAATTTGTGTATTAAATTATGATGTGTTGATAGACGTAACTGGGTAAAAATAAGGGGGGGGAATTTATTCATCAAAATCGAAACTGTAACCTAGGTAATTGATTGTTTTAAGTCTTAAAAATAATTGTATGGCTTAGAAATGAATCGTGGGAGGCTCGGTGGGAGGTTAGGGTTCAACCCCTCCCCTCCTGAAAAAAACAAATTAATGAAAACATTTATATAACTTATAACTTAGTATTTGGACATGAGTTATATAGATTATGATTTATGACCCCCCACCCCACCCCTCTCTAAAAAGTTTAAAAAGTGTGCTTTTGTTAATTTGATTTTGTTACATAAATATTTTATAAAAATAAATAAACTAAAGACCTAAGTTAATATTTTTAGGTTCCTAGGTTTATTAAATTAATTTAATATTTTAATGTACCTATTTGCCTATAGTTACATCCTGAAAAGTACAAAAATGTTAAAAATACCTATATTACCTAGGTAGGTATATTTTTAAAATTTTATTTCTAAAATTACTAAAAAATAAACATTTAGATAGGTACCTAGGTAAATAGCTGTATAAATGTTTCTTTTCTAAATTTTTTAATTAATGTATAATATATCTATCGGTAGAGAAAATAAAAGTTATATAAACGTTTATTTTATTATAAATAATGAGCTCATTAATATAAATAAAATATTAAGAACATTGTTTTTCACATAAACATAAATGGTATAGGGTATTTTAAAAACACAATACAATATTTTAATATAGGTAGGTACCTCAAAATTAATATATACCTAATTAATACTTTGCTTTAAGATTCTTTAAATTATATTATCATTAATCATGATATTAATATGAACTACAAAATGTAGATACTTTTTTATTTGTAGTGTCTTGAAACTAATTACTAATACCTATCTATAGGGACAGCCTGGCCCACCAAGGCTCAGGAAAATAATTACCTAGTATTTATTTATATGGGTATATAATATACCTAGATAATATATATGTACCTATTAATTATTTCTTTATAGTAGGTACCTACTAAAAAAAAATATACCTATTACTACTTATTAATATTAATTGTAAATTTGGAACAATACCAAGAGGAAAATCCTAATTTTATAAGTTATAGTAGGGTATATAAAATATCTCTATTTGAAAATGCTCATCATTCCCCGCAACTCCCTTAAAAACTGAATTATCATGGTCTAACATATGCTCAGTCCCCTACCTAGAACCCATCTCGTTATACCTATAGAAATGTGGCCTGGGTAATACATTTTCCCTGCCTTAATTTTCGTCCCAAGTCATCCTTGAATATCTTGGCAATAGATCTGATAACCCACAAAAAATATTAAAATGCAGCCACTTCTGCACTCGATTTATAACCAACAGTATTGCCTATATTAGAAGTACTGAGTCTTATGAATTTAAAGTTTTATAATAAAATAAAGGTAATCTTCATACATTTTAAGAACTCATATCTAACTATTAAAAAATAGACCATGTAACAGCAATTTGCATAATGTAGGCGATAGCTTTAAAAATTCTTATTAATAATCTATTTTTACCCATAAGTACCTATTCATAATATAAAAAATATAAAATGTAAATTATAATTTTGTAATCACAGTATATTATTTTGATTGCTGTGAAAAATGTTAATATTATGTTTATAAACTACATCAACATTTCTGTTTTATCACATAATAGGTATTATATTAATGTTTATTTTGCCTCTTTTGATATATTAATAGGTAATCTGTAAAAAAATGAATCTTATTACGTATTCTTTCATATTGCACACTATATATTGTGGTGTATGTAATTCTATGTTGGTGTCAACTGTATTATTAAATAAAGTACATGATGTTTATTTGAATTTAAAATTGTTGGATAATATGCCAAGTATTGAACAAAAATGTTATTATTTTTAAATATAATTATAAGTATATCCTATATCTAAAATCGTTGGTAGGTACTTAGAGAACTGTACATTTCATGAACATTTTCAAGCTTACAGCATATCTTACATATATATTAACTTTAAGAAGACGTGCTAGTGTGCTACCCGTATATGTAGTCTCTTTCTTACAAATATACAACATAGCCAAAAACTGTTTTGCGTGTAACAACTTTACTCCCTCTGTATTTATAGTTGAATTTCCAAAATTCCACAACCCATGGGGAAGAACTTTGTCTGTGACTAAGAGTTTTTATTTTTTTGATAACATAAATACAATTAAAGTTATCAGTTTGAGAACATTGGGTTTTTGTTAATTTTTTGTTGTTTTCATTTGTAAGACGGAGACAATAAATTAAGATAGCACGACAGCACGTGGTAGTACTTTCTCTTAATGTATTAATTTTCTAACTAACCAAAAAAGCTAAATTGTTACACTAATTTTTGTAATTGTTAAACTACATATTAAGTTTATTACAAAATCAACTAACTAAAAAAATTAACTTTTTAACTAATTAACCTTTGGAAAAATCATAATTTTAATCTTAATTGTTTGAAGCTATAATAATCAATAATTATATTATATATGAATATATGATAAAGAGGCAAGACAATTGTCGTTCAATGTAGTCTGAATAGACATCCATAACACTTAATTTGGCTATAGACATAGATTAAAATTTTCCAATTATCCAGTTTTGTGGCCCAGATAAATGATGAAAATTTACATTACAAACATAAGGTTATTTTGGTAATTAAAGAATTGTGTTAGGTAATTAAGCTGTTGTCCTAATTGACTGGTGTCACTATTAAGCCAAATGTACTTTATTATAATAAAATATTATTATTAACCACAACCTTAACATTTAAATAGTACTTTCCAGGAGCATACATAAAAAAAAAATTCACTGGGGTTCATAGTAGATTTCGGGGGGGGGGGGAGGCATAATCTGTATAAATAAATAAAGTACACAACTATTAACCCCCCCCTGTATACGCTCCTGGTACTTTCTACATCCTAAAGCAATGCTATAACTTATAAACGTGTTCACGTATGATCATATATGATTAGGAAAAACATCTTTTTGGGAATAAGCCATAAATAATGAGCAAATGTATTAAAATTTAAATGTATGTTAATTATTATTGCTGATAACTATATACTTATCCTCATAGATAATCTACATTTTTTTTTCATTTGTTTTCACTATTATTATTTTTTTAACATAGTTAGTGTTTTGATTACATAAAGTATAAGATAGATTAACTTAGGTTAGGATTAATAATTTATCATTATTCTAATTCTTATTAGTCATTGCTATTACCTATGCTTATATATTTTTTTTATTTTTTTTTTCAGATATCACTAATACAAAATGTTTAATACCGTTTATGAAGAATCTCTGTGTGTTAACAAGTCTTTCAAATCCACATCAACATCTTATAGATTCATACATACAACTAGTTCCAATTTTTATAATGATTCATCTTTGGTTCCTATTTTTTGCAATCGTACATCAACAGATCTTGGTGCTCGTCAACTGGCTTCGGCCACTCATAATTTAGACTATGGTGTTTTTAAACTAAAGGACAGTTCCAAGTTAAAAGATCCAGTTACTATTTGTGATCCACTATTATCTTTAAATCAAGAACCATCAAAAAAATTAAGTACACTTTCTTGTTTTCAAATTCAAATGCATCAAACAACTCCATGTACTAAATACGATTTAAAATTTTTAAATAGTAAAAACCGTTATTTGTTTAATAATATTTATCATAAACGTATTAGTTTAGAAGGCCTAAAAAAAGTAGACTTTATGTATTATTCATCAAAGCGTTATAATTTTGCCCCTGTAACCGAAAAAATATTTTCATTTTTGCACGGAAAAGACATTTTGGCAATGTCTATGGTATCTAAAACCTGGCATAATGCAGTAAAATACTCACCATCAGCTAAAAAAAAGAAAAAATCTTATGTAACATTCATGCGATCAGAAAAAGAAAATCATGGACATGCTGAAAGAAGGCGATTGTGTTTACCAAGTAGAAGAGTATTAGGCGATATTAGTAATATCATGCGTTTTCCATTAAAGTAAAATGGACATTCAAAAGAAGTACATAATCAAACTAATATTTCAAATAAAAGGTAGGTTAATTATTTTATCAAATAACTGAAGCATTAAAGAATTCAATTTTGTATTAGAGAATATTTATTTATATTTTTTTATTGATTAATTCAAATGAAATTAAATAATGCATATTTTATCTATCCAGTAAAACACATAAATGAATAAAAAATAATTTATACATCAAACATGGATAAATAATAAAATATTACATACCATGTAATGGATCAAAAAAAAAAAAATGTAGATATTGCTTAATATATTGTAACATTAACCTAAATATTATATTCAGATTATTCACATTTAACAATTTAATATTTACTAAATTACAGGTTCCTCGCAAGTTGTCGCAGGTGAAATATTACAAAGTATGTACTTCAAATACATTTTATACATAAAATGTATCATTATAATATGCTAATATTCATTATCTGTTAATATTAAATACTACCAATGTCTTGTTAATTTACAATAATATTTTTCAGATATTATAAATTGTTTATTTTTAGTTATCTGTAAAATGATTTCTCATACATATGTAATTATACTTTTTTTAATGCATTAACTGGCATTGTTTAAAATAATACTCTCATTTTTTTTTTAGTAACTCAAAATTATATTATTATTCTAAAATGTTTTTCTTATCTCATTTATTTTGTTCTTCAACAGCACTTGTTCATAAAATAACTGTATTACATTATTTAATTTAGTTTTTTCAAATATTAAATTTTGAATTGAAAATTCATCAATGTTCAAAACTTATGCTTATGAAATAAAAATCAGTTAATGAATAAATATTTATTTTACCACCCACCTGTTTTCTCACCAGAGTACATGAATTCTAACAATTAGATACTCATTTAGGGCTTGCATTAAAATGTTGTAAACATGTATAATGATAAACTACTTGTTTACTTTTCACTAGTATAAGGATAAGAAGACCTCAATAATATTATTTAAATAAATATAATGTACTAGCTGTATTACTTGACTTTGTGCGAGAACAATATTATTAAATACGGAGCTTGGTGTATTTGGGTTTGCTTGAAACTCGGTTCACTTGGGTGAATAGTTGATATCGATGTACCTTGGTATCCGAATCCGAACGAAAAAAAAAATGATTTTGGATAATATCAGTTTAAACCTGAATGTTCTCTTCAAATTAGATATCCAACTCAAATTTATAAATTTTGGAGGTGCTACTATTTTACAACCTACATAAGAGCAGTTTCAATAGTGTTAATATGATAGTGGTACAAAAAGAAAAACATCCAATGTAAAACCAATAAATAATTCTTATTTAGACTTATAATAAATTATACTTTCACTCAGAATTTAGCCGTTAGTTAAGTTAAGTAAACATTAAGTTGTATGTTAATACGTACCTAGTTAACTAGCAATGTATATTACCTTGAAAGTTGTGAGGTATGTAAGTCAGGTATTAATAAAAAAAATATAGGACTTGGTTAAAAAGAAGTTAATATCTGGATCCTAGGTTATACAAGTGATAATTTGTTCTGGAAGGGAGGGAAGAATTTTTTTAATATACATCAGGTGGGGACTTAGAGTTTAGACCCACCACAATACCTTGGAGTTTTTTTTTTTTTTTTAACACTTTAAAATAATTCTATAGGACATTTTAAACACATTGTATAACAACAAATTCTTTTTAATCCACAAAATATTGAAAAGCCATAACCATTCAACCATTGCTATTTAACAAAAACGATACAATGTATGAACCTGAACTTTTGAAATTAAAGCTGTGTTTTTATAGTTTTGGGTTACAGTATAAACTACTTGTAGAATTCTTGTTCTACATTTTCAATCCTAAGCTATAAAAATTGAAAATTGTATACATATTTAACTAAAATTAGACTGTTAACTTAAAATAATTTGCAAATTGTCTTGATTTTGACTTTAAATGCCTTAATAAAAATCCCATGTACCTATCTTAACAATTACCTATTTTAACAACGTATGAGAACCTTGTATAAAATTATCAAGTTTTTTTACCCAACTAACAAATTTTTATCGATATTCATTTAAATAAAACTAAAAAAAAAGCAGTTAAGTTGTTGTCACTCTGCTGTACAGTAGGTTACAAGTGGCCAAGTGGGTCACTGTATAATGGACGGTATTAAATTTGAATTCAATGATATAGTATAATTGCATACGAAAAACAATTCTGAGCCGTGAGTGGTGACTGTTTGTCGGTGTCAATATTTTATGTTATATATTTTATATTACTATTGCCTACTTATTATTAATACGGTAGCCGCTAAGATGAATTAATGCTATAAAATTACAACAAAATAACTATAAAATCGTTATTCTTGGTTATTTGATATGCAATTTCCTCTAAATTTGAACATAAAATAACTATAAAAAAACTTTGTTTTTATATTTTTGGGATTTTTTGATTATAGAATAACATACTTACGTGGAACATTGTTATACGTTTTCAATCCTTAGCTATAAAAGTTGAGCAATTTATAAATTTTTAACTACAAAATCATTGTTAAATTTTAAATGGTTATAAAAAATAACTGTGACTATGTACTTTTAATATTTTTCAACTGCTATTTAAGCAATATATCAGGAGCTTTGTATTTATTTTTTACGTTTTTTGGCCCAAAAAATAACATTTTATTGATATTTATAGGAAAAAACTAAAAAAGTTGGTCAACATTTAGGAATAGATAAAAAAACATATGATATAAATCTCAAGTGTCGACTGTTATTTTTTTTTAATTACAACGAAATAAGAAAATCGCTACATGAGAAATGATTAATGAAGTGAATATCCAATGTTGTAAAAATTTGAACTCCAAACGCTCATAAAAATTAAATTTGACTTTCTTTTTTTGTTGATAAAGGTAGACAACCTTATAGGATTATTACCTCATTACATTTTAAAATCTTTGATTTAAAAAGAAAATATTTTAGGAATATCTAACTCAAAATAATTTGCACACTTTCGTAATTTTTACGTATTTTGTCAATATTTGAACTTTATTGCCTTCAACTTTTTAATGTTTTTCATCTGCTTTTGAAACAATATATTAGAGTCTTCTATTCAATGTTAAAGCTTTTTTAACCGACAAATGCAATTTTCAATTTCAAAGTGGCTTTCATGAAAATTATGAAGTTTCGCACTAATCGATTGTTGCATAATGTTAGTTACCTACACTAATACACTATATAGGACATACAGTACAGCATTTATCATTTGGTATCTGAAAATCTACTCAGTTGTCTACTTGTATTTTTTAAAATCGATGTTATTTTAGAGGTCTAGTTTTCGCATATGCATCAAATAGTTAAAAATCGTTTCAAATTCGGTAAGTCAATATTAGTATTTATACCTATACCTGACTATTTAGTATTTAATTTATGAATTGTGCAAAATGTATTATGCAAATGCGTATTAGCCAATCAGGCACTTCCTTCGTGCAAATTACATACGGAGAAAGTGCGACATGATCAAATGTGAAATGCTTTGTTGCATTAACAAAATAAACAAAATGTGTCTGAAAAAAAAAATGTTTACTGATACGCGTAGCCGCGTAGGTACCTATCAGTTATACTATAGTCATAAACTTATAAACTAATGGACAGAGCTTTCCACATCGCCCTGCCCTTGGTTAATCCAGACGACAACTGAGAGAGAATATAATATTATACGAGCATATGAGAGAGAAAAAATATGTCTTGGGCTATACCTATATTTTAGCAATAAAATTTAGCAAGAGCGATGAATGTATTGATTTTACAGCTATGTGTGTTTTTTTTTGTGTTTCGTCGCCTTTTAGGACAGTAAACATGCTTAGATTTTCTTCAACAGTATAACTTTTCTGACAGGAAAGTGAATCAAGTTGGTACTTTGGGGGGTAAAAAAGTAAAAATTACCCAGTAGTTTTCAAAAACAAATGTAAAATTAAGGAAAAACGGGAATTTCCACGCAAAATTGATTTTTAACATTTTTGGTGTAACTTTAAAAAAAATTATTGTAAATACATGACATTTTGACTGAATGTTAATATTACCATTTTCTATATACCATAACATTTCAAAATATTTTGAGCTATTTTCGGACATTTTCTGTTTCATTTAGCTTTATTAGCTTTTTTTCTATAAATATCAATAAAAAGCTTGAAAAATTAATAGAAGTCTTCTAATATATTGTTTCAAAAGCAGATGATAAATATTAAAAATCCGTTGTCACAATTTTTTTTATAAGCATTTAAGGTTCAAATATTGACAAAATAAGTAAAACGAAGATAATTGCAAATTATTTTGAGTATAATTCATAAAAATTTTTCTTTTTAAATCTAAGGTTTGAAAACGTAATACAGAATCCCTAGTAAATTTTTCTACGTTTATAAAAAAAAAAAAAATGCCTAAAAGCATGTCAATATAAATTTTTATGAGCGTTTGAATTTCATATTTTTACAACATTGGATATTCACTCGATTTGTCATGTAGCGATTTTCTTATTTTTATGGAATTCAAAAACAAATAACTAATACATTTAAATTTCACTGAATGTTTATATTCTCATTTTCTATATACCATACAATTTTGAAAATTTTTGATTTTTTAAGCTGTTATTACGGACAATTTAATGCAAGGCTCTTGGTATATTGTTACAATAACAGTTGGAAATTAATAAAAATACTTCGGCACAATTTTTTTTTTATAAACATTTATAGTTCAAATTTTGACAAAATTTATCAAAGTATCGAAAATTATCAATCATTGTACCTAATAAAATTAAATTCAAATTTGGCGAGATCACATAATATTAAAACCAAGAATAAAGATTTTAGTTTTTTTTTTTAATTTAAAAATATGCACTGTTGATTTATGAAACTTTTAGAGTATATTGTTATATTTTATATACACGTAATGACATTTTCAAATGTACATTTTAGAAAATAATGAATTTAACCTACAACTGTAGTTGT